GTGTTTTGTATTTTTGCTCAGAGCTGAAACCAGTTTCTAAATGATGCTCTTTGCCTTTTTCACAAGATTTGTTTTCTTCTGATCATAGTTATGCTGTTTCTCTCCTCCAGCCCAGCAATGCAGCGAGGGTTGGAGCCAGGTGGGCGACGCTTGCCTGAGGATCAACTCCAGCCGTGAGAGCTACGACAACGCCCAGCACTACTGCAAGAACCTGAACGGGAACATTGCCTCCCTCACCACCTCCAAACAAGTGGAGTTTGTGCTGGAGGAGCTCAAGCAGCTCCAGCAACAAGAAAAGGTAAAACAGGAAGTTTTGTAGATGAGTTCATCCTGAGCTGTTCACTCCCGATCCTTTTAGCTCGTGTAATTCTTGCACTCTAGCTACATCCAGCTGAGTTTGTTTTCCTCAAGGTTGTGATCTCGTTCTCGTGCACGAGACGGTGGTAAACACTTCTCATTTCTGATGTTTCTTCATACAACAAACCACAGCCACATGATATTGTCTGCAGGCACATCTTAAACCCTTTTAGTTTCACAAATCCTGACAGCTCAGTCTCATTTGCTTGTTATTTTTCTGCTTTGATCAGAGCGTTTGCCTTAATGTAGGCCACTTTCAAAGAGGACGCGTTTCTGTTTTACACAAGATGCAGTCAAAAGGGCCAGGCCATATCTCTGACAGCTTCTAGCAATGTTTTTTTTTGTGTGTGTAGAAAACTCTGTTTCAATATATTACATTAGACTTTGGAATTTGGGAATTCACACAGAGGCAAACTCATGCGTGGTTCAAAGGGAATAAAGAGTGTGCTTGTTCCTCTGATCTGCCACTCCTTTTTCAGGTCCTACAAGATGTGTGTGTGTGTGTGTGTGTGTGTGTGTGTGTGTGTGTGTGTGTGTGTGTGTGTATATATATATTTATATATATATATATATATATTTTTTCTTTTACAAATCTTAGCTGTAGAGCCAGTAGTGATTCGAAGATCTAATCCACCATTTCATCAAACCGTGGGCAGTTGTGGACAGAGTCCACCTGATGTTAATTCTGACCCTGTTCCAGGTCAGATTCAGTTTTGGATGAGAGGATGAACTTGAACGACTGCAAAGTTGAACTAAAATGTTGGAATTCCAGTTTGGTTTTAATGAGCCATTCAAAAGGATGAGATAGCACCCATCTACTGCAGGCTGTCAGTAGGTTGATCAGTTAGAAGTTGCAACCAATCAATTTAGCTGTGGAATTTACAATAAAAGCAAAAATGTGGTTTTTAAAAGACAAATACTTCGTATTTTACTTTATCTTTTTTTTTTATTTACTTAATTTTTTAGACCTAAAATCGGCAAAAACAAAAGAAAGATTTCAACAAAGTGTCAGTCTGCATCAACAGCTTATGGCTGAGTGTCGCACACAAAATTACTGTGAGGGCTGTGATTTGGACAATCAAGATTATAAAGTCAGAGCTTTAATTGTAGAGTAAAACTCTAAAAGTTTTGTTGGTAAAAACAAATATATTCCAACATTTGAGGCGCTTAGGTTTTAGATTTTTAGCTGCTTCACTTCACATCAGCATATCAACTAGGATTTGTCTTTTTCCACCTTCACAATTTCACTGTAAATCTCTTCATGGACTTCACAGCTGCACATTCTTGTGCAGCCAGAGGAAAATGCTGCTGATTCCAATTCAGTCATGCTTGCTGCTCATGAGACTATAATTTGCTGTCAGTCTGCTTAGCGTAAATTTAGTTGTTTGTTCCAAACAGAACCTTGACGTGCCTCAACACATTATTTTCCTATTACATTAAAAGTCGAATCCTGAAGGCAAATAAGTAATCATATCTGTGAAATTATGTTTCGTAGACTTTTAATGGCATCTTTTGTTCCCAGGTGTAAACGCAAGAGCCATTAATTTTTCTCTCTAAATAGCGTGACTGCACAGAAAAGGAGCCACATTTCTGATATTTTATTGTGAGTGTACATTTTTGCTGCCTTCCTACAGCGTCTGTCCCCATGGGTGGGCCTGAGGAAGATCAATGTGTCCTACTGGGGTTGGGAGGACATGTCTCCTTTCACCAACAGCAGCTTGCGTTGGCTGCCTGGAGAGCCCAGTGACTCTGGTTTTTGCGCCTACTTGGAGGAGCCTCAGGTGTCGGGCCTGAAGGCCAATCCGTGCACTGCTACTGCCCATGGGCTTATCTGTGAAAAAGCAACAGGTCAGACACTCATGCAAGCACCTACCATAAGATAAATTATTGCATATGAGAAAAGTTAAATCAATCTTGGCCATTCACTATTTTGTTCTTGTTTGTCTTGCAGGAAACCCCAATCAGAATAGCCGTTCTTCCTGCAAGAAGCCTTGCTCTCTGCACACAAACTGTGCCAACTGTACCAGCCAGGCCATGGAGTGTATGTGGTGTGGCAGCACACAGCGCTGCGTGGACTCCACGGCGTATGTCATCTCCTTCCCCTATGGCCAGTGTCTGGAGTGGCAGACTACAGACTGTCTGGGTAAGTGTGTTCCACTCTGCCTAATTAGCATGAGCTGTTGGAGGTCTATGGTGGCATTAAAGGGGTAGACAATAGGCTCTGCTAGATTTGTTTCTGTAAGCAGTCGATGTTATTCACACAGAGGGGAAAAAAAGGTCAAAATAATAAAATGGATAAAAGTGGAAGGTGTTTGATTCACAGGGAAACTCGTATCGGTTTTCTTGGGATGGACTTTGGAACCTGTTTTTGGCTTTTAATAGACAATTACTTTTGCATTTAATCTCACATCTAGTTGCTGACTGAACATCTGTAGATGGGCTTACTTACATCAGGTGCCCTTTAAATAGTCTTGGATCAAAAACAGGGACTAAAGGGACATTTAAACATAAGGGAATTTGCATATGTCAGAGCAATAGGACTTAATGTTTGATATTTAGCAAATTTGTCTTAGTACTGGGCTTTGTTAGCTAATTTGTTTTTGTTTTTGTGATTTTATATATATTTTGCATCTGAATGGTATTGATAAAAAATTATGACAATGGTAAAAAGTAAATGGGCTATGTTCTGTGATGGCCCCATCACTAAAGGTCAGTAGGTAGTTTTAAGGTAGATCTGGTTCTTGAGACATGCCTGGGCCAGATGCATTTTTGCCATTAAATATCTGCTGTTGTGGTGACTTCATTGGGCAGATGTCCACTGCTGCTGCCTTGTTAACTTGTTCATTTCTCTCTTCACACATCCACAAGCCACCTTAAAAACCGATTTGAGCAAAACTGTAGCAAGCTGGGGGCTCGTCCAGGATGCCAAACACTCACTAATGAAAATAAATGTAAATCCTAAAAGTGTTGAAGCTCTAGAAAACTTCAAACAATGCACATGTTCATGTTTTTCTCCTCATTGTCAGAGCTCCTTTGAGGTGTCACATGATAACTGACAGGTTATTTTGAGAAACAAAAATACTGAAAGAAACATCCCAGAATCTTCCCGCGTGCTACAAACAGATAAGAGTTTTGTTGGCTGAGAGCTGATGTCAAGCTGACTGCCGCCTGTGAGGTAACTGTAGCAAAAATGTCAACATTTAAGATGAAGGGGAGAATACTTCTGCAGGATTTGTTTGTATTTCGTTTGTTTTAGAGGAAAACTAGATCTTGTGACAACGAGTAGAGGTTTTTGCAAATTATAACCTCGGCTAAAGGAACAGAATAGTTGAGATTAGAATGGGAATGTAAAGGTTGGTTTAGGACTAAATTATTTGGGCTAGTGAATTACAGACTCACTATTGCCCCCTTTCCTTACTGAACATGCCTCAACTCAGCTCGGTGTGACTCAGCTCTATATAGTGGGGGTTGGTTTTCTAATTTATACTGGAAAACTGCTGTTTGTTAGACTCTGAAACTGGAAACAGCTGCCGGCAGTGAGGCAGCTGCAGGCGGAAAACTCTGTAGCAACCAGTGACTCTGCCCCCTATCCTATCAGTGACAGACAGTTGCTGACATTCCAGTTTTTGGCCCAGCTTGGTACACTTAAGCTGAGAATATACTTGCTTTTAATTACGCATAAACATGGCTTCCTCACGTAACTTGTGTTTATCTGAAATGTTGTTTGTGCAGTGTCCTCTGAAGTTAGTGCAAGCCGTTGGCAATATTTGAGTAACCAGTAGCGGTAGTTGGCAAAACGAGCGAGACATACTAACCATTGTCACGCCGTCTGTGGTTAGGGGTCTTACGTACCATATATGATACCACCGGTGTCTTCTTTTTCTGTCGTGATCTCAAAACTACACAGCTGCTGATCTCTTCTTTTGTCGCCATATTTCTTTTGTACCCTACAAATACCGCACTCTGTTCTGTACTGTCCCCCAGCAGAATCCACCAGTAGTATGTGCATCTTGCTGTCTGGGCCAACCAGAGGTTTAAAATCAAGTATAGTGAGGCAAAAAAGGATTTAGTCGGCCACCGATTGCGCAAGTTCTTCCACTTTAAAAGTTGAGGGAGGCATTTTAGGGAGACAAATTGAGGGAAAAAAAATTCCAGAAAATCACATTGTCTGATTTTAGAATGATTTATTTGCAAATTATGGTGGAAAGAAAGTATTTGGTGTCCTACAAGCAAGCAATATTTCTGGCTCTCACATAGGACTGAACAATTATAGGAAAATATTGAGTTTTGATTTTTCTAGGAGGAATTGCGAATTTAGATCGATTCACGATTTTATTCAAATCAAGGTTGAACACAGTATTCACAGTATAGTCAGAAATCATACCATAAAAAACATTAAAGCTATTCATTTTCCCCTTGTTATCTTTTTTAAAGGTGTGGAATACTTGTTTAATTAATAGATTTGCAGTGGTCTGTAGAAGGAATGAATGTCTTGCAGGCAAAATTGGAAAACCCTTGATGTTTAAAATACTGACAACCGATCCTGGGTAAGTCAGAAGTGCTACAAAAACAGTTTGAAATTGCAACTTTGGTCCAAAAATGATAGATCATGCATCTAACCCTAACCCTAACCCTCACAGACCTGTAGCTTCATCTGTAAGAGGATCCTCTGTTATCCACTCATTACCTGTATAAATGGTACCCGTTGGAAGTCATTGTCAGTATAAAAGACACCTGTACACAACTTCAGTCACACTCCAAACTTCACTATTGCCAAGACTAAAGAGCTGTCAAATGACACCCGAAACAAAATTGTAGACGTGTGTTATGGCCACCAGCCTGGCCTCTTCAGTTGCAGGAGCCAGGATCACCCAGCCCGGTGATCAGTCAACTATGTTGATATCAACAAAAGATCCCTTTGGATCAACTCAGAGTTCTACCATTTTCTTTTTAGTAAAAACTCATCAACTCAGAGTTAAAACTTTTAAAGTTAAAACTCATCAATTCGAAGGGGTTTAAACCAACAAGAGGCCTGGAGGACAGCAGAATCCCCGCACTGCTGCCTGCTCAGACTGCTGAAGGCACAGCCTTTTTATCCCAGGTGTTGGTTGTCAGAGAGATTCAGCTCAGCTGTGCTCCTCAGCAGCCTGGAAGAGAGGAGGAGGAGGGGCGGTGTCGGGCTGATCACCGGGCTGGGTGATCCTGGCTCCTGCACCTGAAGAGGCCAGGCTGGTGGCCATAAAAAACTGCACCAAGCTGGGAAGACAGAATCTGCAAAAGGTAAGCAGCTTGGTGTGAAGAAATAAGTGGCGGGAGCAATTATTAGAAAGTGGAAAACAAACTAGACCACTTTAAACATCTTTTGTATGCTCTTTCTGTGTTTGTCTTCAAATTCCATATTTGGTTCTTTTTTAAACACAAACAAGGTTTTTCTTTACCTTGCTGACGTTTCATTTGTGACTGCAAACATCTTCAGAGCTGACGCTGATGGTGGCGTCGCTTCCTACTCCATTTATCCGCAGGCAGCAGAGGACGTTGTAGCCCTCTGCTGCCTGCTCTCCCCTCTCCGATGATGCAGTCCCATGCACGATCCAATGAAGCTCTGAAGATGTTTGCAGCTGCAAACTAAACGTCAGCAAGGTAAAGAAAAACCTTATTTGTGTTTAAAAAAGAACCAAAAATGGAATTTGAAGACAAACACAGAAAGAACGTACAAAAGATGTTTAAGGAAAAATACGGACAACAAGGAACAAAGGACTTTCGCCGTTTGAAACGTTTACACCAAAAACGTGCACGTCTTAGGAACCACCTTCATTTCAATTTAAGATGCCTGGACGAAAACATCACACCAACAAGCCTACAGCTGAAAACACCGATCCGGACCAAGACAGCACAAAACATAATGGAAAGAACACAGAGAGCACTACTCAAAGAAAGGATAAGAAATGTTGCAACCAAACAGAAGCAAGTGGATAATGAACTGGAAAGAAGACACCTGGACTTAAAAAGGAATTACAAACTTGATAAAAAAACGGAGGAACAAATTGAAGGCCACATGATGGAAAACAGGAAAAAGAGTTCACAAAGTAAAAGAAAGACACATAAAGAAGTTAAACAAACTCATCAACAAGAAAAAGAGAAAAGAAAACAAGATAACACCACACAAAGTTCATGGGTATGTAACCTTTTACAATACAAACTAACAGAAGCAGAAGAAAGCATATTAAAAAACGTTTAAATTTTGCAGTAACACCAAATAAAATACCATATGATGAATTTATTGTAGCAACAGAACAAGCATGTCAACACATCACAGATGAGGGAAAGACAGCAGAGCTCAGAAATAATGTAGTTGGGATATTAAAGAACAGCAAAATTCAACACAGCAATATTACAAAAGAAGAACAGTCAGCCATGACAGCATTATCCAAAAATGAACAGATAATTATTCTACTGGCAGACAAAGGAAGAACCACAGTAGTAATGGACAAAGAAAAGTATAAACAAAGAAAAATATAAACAACAGATGAAACGGATGTTAGAGGACAAAAACACATACAAAGTACTTTAAAAAGACCCAACAGAAAACATTAAGAAACACATGAAAAAAATTACTGAAGCCACTACAAGAAAAAGACAAAATAACAGAAAAAATGTACAAACACTGGATCCCTACAGCAAATATAATACCAAGAATATACGGAACTCCAAAAATACACAAACAAAACACCCCACTTAGACCAATAGTAGACAGCATAGGTATACCAACATACAACATGGCAAAAGAAATCAGCAAAATCAGCCCGTTATTAGGTAACACAGATCAACACTGCAAAAATAGCATAGAACTGGCAAAAGACTAACTAAAAAATACTACAATAGAAAATAACGATATACTCATCTCAAATGACGTCACATCCTTGTTCACAAAAACATCAACCCAAAAAACCATAGACATAGTAGTTAACAGAATCAGACAGGACAAAACTTTACACAAAAGAACAAACCTCACAGCAGATAACATAGCACAACTCACAGGGCTGGTACCTAACTCCACTTAGCAGCAATACCGCAGCAATTTCCTAATGTTGTGACCTGGCACAGATATGGCAATAAAAACTTCTGATTCTGATTCTGATTCAC